TAAAGATTGGTTAAATGACAATAGATGGCATTAGATGCCAGATTTAGAGGTCTGAAGGTGTATGATTTTGACGACGGATTCCATGGCAACGGAACGCCTGATCAAATTAAATTATATATTTTTAGTAACATCCTTGCCTTATCCCTCTCCATAGTAAAGATAAACATTTTCTGAGTGGGGGCCTTAAATGGCTCATACCATATATACTTCTTTTAAACAATGTTCGCTGGCATAATCTTCTAAATACATGGATCAGAAATACATATGATTTCTTTAAATTATTAATTGTGTTCTTCCCTTTATTAAAATAATCAACTTTAAAACAACCATATTTCCCATGATTCAATAGTTAATGTTACACTCACATATGTGAGTTGATTATTTTAATAAAGGGAAGAACACAATTATTAATTTAAATAAATCAATGCACATTCTTTTTTTAAATAAAACAGTGAATATAAAAACATAAAACAAGCTAAGTTTTTGTTTGCGTAAACGGTCAAAACAAAAAGCGTCACTGGAATATCACTCAAAAATATGACAATTCTATTGTAATTTTTTATAGAAGCATCTTTTTATTATATAACTTCAACAGTTACAGATGAATAACTGTTCAAAGCAATATCAATTACATTCTAAACTACAAAGACATCTTGAATAACTTCAATTATATCTTCAGAAAATAATTTAATTGCGACACATAATTGAACAGGTCACTCAAAAGTAGCATCTAGATGCCCTTAAAACTAGATACTGATTTTCTACTTTTTGGTTTCGTGATTCTTCAATGTCCACGTGCACATTTCTGAAATAGATTAATCAGATCAAAAGAGACGATTGTAGCCATTACTAAAATGATAACCACAGCTCCTACGTATCCAACTCCTTTAGCTGATGCTCTACCATCCTCTGCACAAGAGATCTTCCTAATTTCTGAAGATAATTCATATTTATTTACCCTCAATTGTTGAATAAGTTCATGTAGGTCGACGTTTGTAAATCTAGTAGTGTTAAAAATATGTTTTTTGCTGCTGCTGCAAATACAATTACAGATCTTTCTTGAATCACCTACAACTGTTGTGTAGTTCTGATTATTGTTAGTTGTGATATCTCTTCTGAGTAAACGATCTTTTGAGAAAGGATTTACATATTTTGAAGAAATACTAGACAGAGCTGAGGAATCTTCTGAAAAAAATGTAGACTGAGGTGTGGAATATCTCGTTGGTAAATGATTTTTTGAAGTAGGGTTCATAAATTCTGAAGAAATGATTGGCAGAGTTGTGGATTTTTTCCTGCGTAATAGATCTTCCGAACTAGGATTGACATGTTTTGAAATTAAAGAAGGCAGAGTATTGCCTATCCACGGCTTAATATCTATGTACCTCCCAGTTGTGGATATATTATTGTATTGTTGCGGAGAAACACTCATCCAGTTTGTATAAAAAGTATTTATTGACAAAGCATCTGTAGCTCTGTTGCTCTCCGTTCCTTTACTGCTTTTACTTTCTGTTGCAGCTATAGTTTGACCTTGCATTTTAACACTCTTTATGATAGTTGTCAGAAAACTAATCCCCTGGTTCGACTCGGATATATTCACAAAAGAAGAAGTTGTTTCAGATGTTGACAGAGTTGACTGGGTTTGTTTTGAGGAAAGCATTTGTGATCTCGTTACGGAGTTTCCGAAATCATCATAATAATTTTCCAGAAACAAAACGCAAATTTCGTAAGCTGACTGAATGTTCAGGCTTTTCCCCTTTTCTAGTGGAATTTCAAAAAAGTTTGTTATAGAATGAATGCTGCGATTGATTGTAATGTATTGCCTTCTTGATTGAACATTGTTGATTTTTACTGTACAGTTGCTTACGTGGGTTGAATTAAACATGGGACAAGCCATCTGGAAAGTTGTTCCACAGTTGTTTTTAGGCAAGACTTGAAAAATGGAATCATCTTTGCAAAAGATTATAAGTTTGTCATCAGAGGAAGCAATGATAGTTTGATATAGCGGAGATCGGCTTTCTATTTCAATAAACATGTCAGTCTTTAAGAGACAATGTCCACTTCTAGAGCAGGTGCCATTTAATTTTAAGCCATATTTTATTTTTGGAGGTGCCCTAATATTTACAACAATATCTTTTGTTGACTTGGACGAAACTCGACAGTTATAGCTATGGCTTATTTCACTGGAGGAAATTAATATATATTCCTTCCCGAGATCCCTCAAAGATTGTATGTTGAAAATATATTTTCGCCTTGACTCCCGAATTTCCATGACTACACCTGCAATCTCTGTTAAGGTTATGGTAAATATTCCAGAAATTCTTGGAAATTCCTTTGAAAATCTGATTTTGGATCCAACAGCCCGCACAATGGAGTGATTCCCATGGGTTATGGTGGTATATGCTCCAATATCTGTGTCTATTGAAAGTTTTGCATAAATGCTTAGTTCATCTGGTGGATATGTAAACGGAAAAAGGATAACAGGATAGCTCTCTGATGTTACAAAGCCTTAAAACACACAAAAATATTATACATTTTCTTAATGTAGAATTTATTGAAATGAGTTTTTGTGCATCAATAATATCATTTATTTGTCATTTTCTCTGTTTGAGCTTGATAGAGGCATTTTTATATGAATTAGTTTTCGAAAATAATTCCAAACACTTAAATCACAAGTTACATTATTGCAATAAGTGTTAAAGCAGTTTAAAATAAATCAAAAAAAGAAAATTTGATAATTTGAATGTTATATCATATTTATCTTCATATCTGAGTACTATACACCTTTTTGAGAATAAATCGAATTCTGCAAATGATAATAAAATTTTCCTTTAATTGATCTTATTTGTCATTCTTACAAATGATTAACTATCTCATACTTGATATTCTGAGTAAATTGAATACTTACCAAACAAAATAATGCATGATGCAATAATGGACAACATTTTGTAGAATAGAAAGGATCCGCACTTTTATAATATGGTACATGGAATTAGAGATAAACTTCTTATAAAGTCCTTTTTCGCCTTTCAAAGGTACATTGATAATTATGCTGTAAATGTTCGTGCTAAAGGTCAATGATAAAAAAATGTTACCGGTAGAATCTGGGCCCTGAATATGCTAATCACACTAATAATCTTTAGTTATTCTACGAAATAAATGAAATTAATTGAAATCTGACGGATTTGCAGAGTAATAATAAAAATGTTGTCAAGCTTAACCTAATTCTTCTTCAAATGATATTTTTAATACATCTCTCTAATCATAGTGTAAACAAATCGGTTCTCCCATGTTAATTTAATTTAATTTAATCAATATTTTATTATGTAAAATTACATGGTCATTTATTTGACACAAAATCCATCAAAATCTAATAATTCGGGACACAAATAGAACTTAACACGAAATTAAGCATGTCATTACCTTCAGTAATTGAAATATATAGATCTTGATCACCTTGATTTATTTAAGATGTATTGAACAACCTTGTGTTGTAAATATTTAAGCTACGGCAAAAGTGGTAGAACAAAGTTTTTATTTCTAGACTCGTGTATTTCTAAAGGAATGATGATTGCACGGCAAACTATTTCATTCCATTATCAGATACTAAGTACCTACCGGTATAACGGGATGTATATTCACATTTATTTTTTTTCTATTTCAAAGTGGCAATTAAATAATTAGGAGCAATTTCGCAAACATTCAAAATTAAAAAAATGACAAGATGTGTTTTTAAATTCATTACCTTAACACGATTTGGCTAAAAATAAATTTACTTATGTTCATAGAGTAATTTAAATACTCAGATCAGGTAATTTTATTTCACCCACATTGTCCAAATAACCATGTAAGTATTAAGTGTTGGTAGGCTGTTTAAGCTAACCCAAACAAAGCAATCTCAAACATACTAGTCACTTTAACAAGAAAAAAATTCTTTGAAAGTCTCATTAAATCTCATTCAGTGGTAAAAGAGGAGTTTTGGATACGAGATAGGCACCCAAATGCGTAACGGACGGACGTACAGACAGACGGACGGAGGGACATCCTGATCACTATATATATACCCTCCTACTTTTCAAGCGGGGGTATAACGGGAGGTAATGAACAATTGTCAAACAAAAATAGTTGGAATCGGATGCATTGGTGAAGAGATCTTCTCCTGTCGACCATTCTCACTCATTATGCATACCTTGTCAGGATCATGTACAGTCATGTAGGCTTAAGAACATGTAGACAATTCAGAGTGGAAAAAAGTGGAACAATTTAAATGGCTGCCACAGAAAGGTATTCAATATTCGATATAGCAAAAGGTGATTTTGGCAAACAAGTCATTGTATTGTGAATCAAACTCATGAGATTAAAATATCTTTGTCTTATCAAATTATTTGTTAATAGTCTAACTAATTTTATAATTTTAACTTGATTTTACAGATCTTAACAACTTGTAGATATATAATCCGAATGCTAGTGATACGTGTATATTGGTACAAAATTAGGGAAGATGACAGAAAAAAAGAGATCGTTATGATTATCATCAAGTTTAGTTCTTCATCAATGTCTTTCTGGTAAAAAATTTAATTTGAAGCATATGTTGATGACATCTTGGTGTCATCATTTTTCAGTGAGATATATCGACTCAAGGTAGGATTAAAAATGAATACTTATATTATTAATTGATTAAGAATTCAACACATTGAAGGTAAAATATAAGGAGGTTGTCAACTTTAATATTACACAATCAAATAATAATTATTCAATATATAAGAACAAGGATTGAAATTAAAAATAGCACTTTTCCTTGAATGTTATGGTGTGGTGGTGGTATTATACATCAAACAAACCAACTCGTGTTTGACCAATCCAAGTAAAGAAACAATTTTTTGGTCAGTCTTATCAGTAATAGAAGTGAAGAGTACGCCTTTAAGTTTACTCCTGATGATAAAAATTATCTGTTTGGTCCTTATATTAGACCAACGTCTTCACAAACGCTTCTACTATTTGGAAATTAAGGGAAAATGTCAATTTTAGCAATACTTTTTGTTGTTGGGTTGTTGCATGGGGAAAGGGGTTTCTCTTTAAATGTGACGAACCATGAGAATGATATTGGACACCTGAAGCAACTTATCCAACAGCTTAATGTTAGTCTTCAACACACTGTGAATAATGAAATTGATCAGCTGAAAAGGGAAACCAGTCTACTGAAAACAAAAATCAATGCACAAAGTAAGTTTTTGAAACAGTTTAATTTTTACTAATATGACAAGAGTAATTGCTTCTACATGTACAACTTCATGTAACTTTAAAAGCGCAATTTCTAATAGATCTAATAGATCTAATAGAATATTATTTTTTACTCTTAATGTACTTTTATAAATATTCTGACCAAGATTGTCTTTCGGTTTTGATATATTTTTAAGGTATATTTGATGTTTTTTTTGACGTTAAACAGTTCTTATGACATATAACAAGTGGTTATGATAGATGATATTAAAATAACAAAGTTCAGGAAAAATTTTCAGTTAAATGAATGAATTAAATAAGAAAACAAGAATTATGCTTAATAAGAAGAATTACAACGTTTATTTTTGTTCCAAATTTGATACGATCAAGATCTAGAAATAAATTTAAATCTGTCTTTTATGTCACAGTGCTAGATTTATTATGACATCATAATTGATTTTGAATTTTCCTGTACTTAATGCCATGATAAACTATTGTTGAAAATAAAGAATACGTGGAATTCTATTTTAAAGCATGTTAAGGTTAATCCCGTTTCTAATGTTTAATTTAATATCATTTTAAATACAAGGTCAAGAGGATATGATAAGATTATTCTAGGAGACTGTGGCAATATTTATAATACCCTTTATGTAATACCTGCTTGTTTACATATTATTGAGATCTAAATAACCTTCCACTTTCTTTCTGGATAAAAATCACAACTCCATATTTGTGTGAATTGTCATTTATTGAAAATGACAATGAGTATTAAAGAATACAATAAATGGGGAGATCAAAAAACCTTATACAAATATTCTTTTACATAAACAAGTAAAGTTGTATAATGATCTCCCCTGTTACATGTCAAAATAATGTACGAAATAACAGAAAAAATTGTAAAACATATATACATTACAAGCAAAAAGTTGGCGTTCAACAATAAAAACAGAAGCCCCCCACACAACCCACTGTTGTGTTTTAAGAAAAGAAGATAACATTAAATAATCAAACATGTTTTACCATAAACATAAATGTTTGATATTTGACTGATGGTGAAAGCTGGGGAAGGTGGGTGGGTGATTTCTTAAGTAGAAAAATTTAACGTGTTTTTGTTTTCCCTCTAAATCAGTGAAGTGGCGCTAATCTGAGACACAAGAAAATACACGCTTCTGATTGGTTAATGTACACAGGTTTGGCTAATTCCCCGATAGACGCCGAATACACATACATATGATATGTTTTGATTTTAAGAAAACAAAAACCTGGTACCATAAAACACATGATTACATGAATGTTATTATTTGACAATAATGCTGTATTATGTAATACCTGCTTGTTTACATATTATTGAGATCCAAATAACCTTCCACTTTCTTTCTGGATAAAAATCACAACTCCATATTTGTGTGAATTGTCATTTATTGAAAATGACAATGAGTATTAAAGAATACAATAAATGGGGAGATCAAAAAACCTTATACAAATATTCTTTTACATAAACAAGTAAAGTTGTATAATGATCTCCCCTGTTACATGTCAAAATAATGTACGAAATAACAGAAAAAATTGTAAAACATATATACATTACAAGCAAAAAGTTGGCGTTCAACAATAAAAACAGAAGCCCCCCACACAACCCACTGTTGTGTTTTAAGAAAAGAAGATAACATTAAATAATCAAACATGTTTTACCATAAACATAAATGTTTGATATTTGACTGATGGTGAAAGCTGGGGAAGGTGGGTGGGTGATTTCTTAAGTAGAAAAATTTAACGTGTTTTTGTTTTCCCTCTAAATCAGTGAAGTGGCGCTAATCTGAGACACAAGAAAATACACGCTTCTGATTGGTTAATGTACACAGGTTTGGCTAATTCCCCGATAGACGCCGAATACACATACATATGATATGTTTTGATTTTAAGAAAACAAAAACCTGGTACCATAAAACACATGATTACATGAATGCTATTATTTGACAATAATGCTGTATTATGTAATACCTGCTTGTTTACATATTATTGAGATCTAAATAATCTTCCACTTTCTTTCTGGATAAAAATCACAACTCCATATTTGTGTGAATTGTCATTTATTGAAAATGACAATGAGTATTAAAGAATACAATAAATGGGGAGATCAAAAAACCTTATACAAATATTCTTTTACATAAACAAGTAAAGTTGTATAATGATCTCCCCTGTTACATGTCAAAATAATGTACGAAATAACAGAAAAAATTGTAAAACATATATACATTACAAGCAAGAAGTTGGCGTTCAACAATAAAAACAGAAGCCCACAAAAGGCAAACCACGTTTGCAAAAACGCCAACCAAAGTGGACTAGCCATCTAAGGGTAGACCACACAAAATGCACTTATGGTTTTGGCATGCAGACAAATATCAACACTATTTTGACACATAGTTTTTGTAAATCTTAACATACAAGAAAAGAAAAAAAATGTAAACAGTTAAATAATTCACTCTGTTTGTAAAAAAGGATAATTAATCCAGATGTAAATTTTTGGAGACTAGCTTTCACAACATTGCATTTTGACCCATACATTACATTATTTATAATAGCAAAACATGAGAACCAGCAGGCACAGCTGGAAAATTTGGGACTAGATTAATACATGGCACTACACATATCTGTGAATAACAAGGCAAAAAACATTTTCATGAACACCTGTTTGCACAGCAGTTCACTACTGACCTGTGTATAGTTTAAGACACCAGCAGTTTACTTCTGACCTGTGATATTTTAGTCACATAGCAGTTTACTTCTGACCTGTGTATAGTTTCAGTTGCACCGCAGTTTACTTCTGACCTGTGCACTTGTAATAATTGGTTTTTTCAATCCCCTAGCAATTAACTTCTGACCTGGTGGATTGAAAAAACACCCCGTTTAAAGTTCTTGCATATTAGTAGTTAACCTGTACTTAATTCTTATTCCAAGAAAGATAGTTTTGCATTTTGATAAAGTTTCTATATTTTAAAGCTTTCGAGGCGTACATACTTACGAATGGCATCTGAGTTCCATCGGCCCATTTTTTGAATACTGTTTTCCGAAAAACCTAACTTTGCAGCATGTGTAGCTGCTCCTATCCTGAAACTATGGCCTTTGTACAGAGCAGGATTGAGACCAATGAATTGAATTGTATTTTGAAGATGTTTTGCTACAAAAGAATATGGGACTGGTTTCCCCCCAATGAACTGGTAAAGAGGCCCGGTGTGATGACCAAACATTTTCACATATTCATACAAGGCATTCACGGGGCACATGATGTTGTTGTCTTTTAAGGCCTTCAAGTGGATCTGGAAGAGGTCCTTTGTTTTATTTGTTTTAAAGTGTTTTAAGACAATTACAACTTCGATGGGTGAGTTCTCATTTAGGGTAAATGAAATATCTTGTCGTTGGATGACTGTGCTAGCTAGACTTTTTGCCTTAACTACTACTTCCCCTAGCCGTAAAAAATTGACTTTAAAAGAATTCTTTGATGCTGATTCAAAACAGAGCACTGAAGCCCTTGAATTAACTTGTGTAAAATGGGACCTGTGATTGGTAAACGTGAATCTTTACACGGGGCTGAATGGTGACAGCCTTGCATGACCTTTTTTACAAGAAATGTATCCGATGGGTCTGTTGTCCCTAACAATTTATGTACATAACTAATTGCTGATACATGTGTTGCAATGCTATTTGGAGAATATCCGTTGTCAAATAGGTAAGAAATAAAGTTACATAATGTAGATGGTGAGACAGGCAAGGATTTGATGGAGGGAGATGTGCTCACTAGCATGTCCCATGATCTTTTGTAGGCTTCGCTTGAACTCTTTGTAAGAGCTTTTGTCAGAAGATTGCAAGCTGATGAGTTCAAATGTTCAAACTGGCTTGAGGGATTTGTGTCGGCTGATGGGTTAAGTGAGGTGCAGACTGGAAAGCTGCCTTCAAATATCCTAGATACCAGTTGTGACACTGTTGCTGTTGTGTCAGCTTGTGACCCTGATGTAGCATCTTGTGTCGCTGATGTAGACGCTTGTGACCCTGCTGTAGAAGCTTGTGACCCTGATGTAGCAGGCTGTGATGATATTGAAGCTGTTGTATTAACCTGTGATATTGTCGTTGATGCAGAGGTCTGTTCCTGGTTTTTTTCTTCACAAGTCGACTGAGGTTAGTGCAAACTTTGTTGCCGTAGGATCTCTGCGGCAAGTTTTTGATAGTCAATGGGGACTTGGTCTGGTTTTGTGGCCCCCGAAGCTTGATTTGGCTTCCGACGTTTTGCGGATGGCGCATCCATACCCTGGCCGTCTGTCTGTTTGGAAGTCTTTTTCCTAGGCATGACTCCTACAAAATGACTTCACTGTTTTAATACACTATGATATGTCTAAGCTAACCTAAGATGTGCCTTATATATAATAAGCAAACAGATATTATTTCTTCTCAGGACTTAACACATCATTCTCAGTGTGTGTCAAGTCCGATATATCATTGATAACTAATCAAACTTGATATTTTTATCTCTACATAAATTTCGGAACCATTGGACTGCATCTGTTATTAATTACTCAACTCAGATTTATGCACCCAGATGTTTGAGATCAAAATTTATGTAAACTTTACTGCGAATCACAAAATATTATATGCATTATGCATATAACATATAGGCAACATCAATTGTGACAACCAAAGCATATTGCTTTAATTGTATGACTACCAAGTACAGTAATAAAATCAATTTTCACAGTATTGTACATCAAGTACACGCCATGAATCTCTTAACATACTACTCATAGAGAGACTAATACATTTGTATGAATAAAACTAATGCACACTACTCTGCGTGTGACTCAACTGATGCACACTACTCTGCGTGTGACTCAACTAATGCACACTACTCTGCGTGTGACTCAACAAATGCACACTACTCTGCGTGTGACTCGACTAATGCACACTACTCTGCGTGTGACTCAACTAATGCACACTACTCTGCGTGTGACATAACTAATGCACACTACTCTGCGTGTGACTAAAATAATGCATAATACTCTGCATACGCTTAAACTGAATCAGACTACTCTGCGTGAGATTAAATTAATGTACACTACTCTGCGTGTGACCATGCTGAATTCTGACATGTAATAGAGTTACAGATCTATAGTTAATATAATTAAAAAACACTGGCTTATCTGGAATGTTGAAGAACTGCAATACGAATGCTGTGGAGGTATTTTTTCATGTGCCTGGATGTTCCCTCTAAGTGTACACCATCACGACCAAGATAAGACAGGTCCGTCCAAAATCCACGATGTTGCCAATAATAAATGTTTTCTAGGGTAGCAGTTCCTTCCTTCAATTTATTGTTAACGTATATGACGTCTTCGTTACACCCTGGTCTGGTCGCCCATGGCTGTCGACGTAACAATTGACCCACTATAACGTTTTTGATTCCCACGCCGTCACGTAAATATTGGGCATATGAGAGTAAATCTGTCACCACTTTGTGGGGTTGTACCCGGCATAAATCGTTGCCGCCCATTTGCAGAAAGCACACATCGGGGGGAGGTTTGGGGAAATTAGTGAATTCCGCGCACTGTGCTAGACGTTGAAAGGTTAGCCCCTCTCTAGCTTGAAAGTCCACAAAATATCGTGTATTATCTAATTGTAAATTAGCATAGTTTTCATTAGCTGCGATAAATTCACCTAACCGGCGAATGTATGAATGTCCCATGATTCGAACATGAATCTTCGCACCTTCCGCCATCGTGTTGTGGGCTTTTTGGACGGAGCTGTCGAATCCTGGATTCGTTAAAAAGTCACCAATAAGAACTTTGATTTCTTAAGTAGAAAAATTTAACGTGTTTTTGTTTTCCTTCTAAATCAGTGAAGTGGCGCTAATCTGAGACACAAGAAAATACACGCTTCTGATTGGTTAATGTACACAGGTTTGGCTAATTCCCCGATAGACGCCGAATACACATACATATGATATGTTTTGATTTTAAGAAAACAAAAACCTGGTACCATAAAACACATGATTACATAAATGCTATTATTTGACAATAATGCTGTATTTTGCGACACAGTACTTTTGTCAAACTTTCAAATTTTAAATACAAATTGTCAACCAAAATTTTGTTTGGGTTTAATTTAGGCAAGTTAACCTTTAAAAATGTTATGATACAACGTATTTTATATAACATATTTATAAGGACCCGATAATTAGTTTATTTTACCAAATTTGAGAAAATGTAGACACATTCTTTCATAGATATTGAAGTAGAAAGCCACTGCAGATAGGTTATAGAATATCTCAGGCGTCTTAGATCATTTTATCCATGTGTAACAACAAAACTTTGTATTATACTGAAACTTCAAATGCAACTCTTTGAAAAGATACTCGTGTTTTCAATATCAAAGTTAAACATTCTACACTGTACATTTAAAATTTAGGTCAAAATCCCATAGCTTTCACCGCAAGACTATCGCACGATGTTGAACTGCTGGGCGAACAGACAATTGTGTTTGATAAAATAATTCTGAATCTTGGAAACGCTTACCATGAAAGTTATGGACACTTCACGGCTCCAGTGCAAGGTGTTTACCAGTTTGCTGTATCGCTGTTAAACGACGGGAAAGAATCTTATTTTTCGTTGATGAGAAACGGAAACCAGGTGTTGTCAATGCTTTATATAAGAAGTGGTACCTTCTATTCCTCATCGTCCATTGTTGTCGCACAGCTAGAAGCCAACGATGTTGTCTTTGTCAAAGGTACCAGAACAGCAAACTTAGACGAGTCATATTATTGTATTTTTAGTGGATTTCTTATTCAGTAATTGTAATAAAAATCCAAGAAGGCTTAATTCAAACATTGCATGTTAGAATATAACTGATTTAAGTGAAGTTATTTTATAATTAAGAGAAATGTTTTCTTGTTGAAGTTAATATACTTCTGTGATACACTTTAATTTGTGTTGTTTAATATTAAATTAGTCACATGCATATTTATACTATTGATTACAAACCATTTGTAATTAAGAAGAATATGCCAAATTCTGGTTTTCTGTTTAGCCCTCTTTCTTTTAACAGTGACGTAGCTTCGTTTTTGAAAGAGGGAGGGGCAGCTAGAGATTTTTTTACTTACCTGAAAAAGTTGACAAGAAAAAAAGGAAATTTTCCCAATCAGTGAACATTTGCTATATTAAAAGTTATGTTTGAAGAAGTGGGGGGGGTGCCCTACGAATGGATTAAGCAAACACTGCAGTCCTACTCGAAAGACGAAAGATTACGAGTAATGAGACAGATATTAGACAAATAGATGTTGATAATTTATATTGACTCTGATCTTTTCGAGGATCGATTCTCAATCGCAGCGCCGTTTTAAATCTAAGACGTATACATACATATAGGTAGTGACTGTTCTTTCGCCAAGCGCTGGGCATTAGAAGTGAATGTCACGGTTCTTTCGGATATGACTTTAAAAACGTAGGTCCCGTGTCAGGGTAGGCGTTGGCACGATAAAGAATTCTTGAATGAGACGTTAAACAATATACATGTACAATCAATCAATCATTTTCGAGGTCCATGCAAGTGCCTGCTCTGTTCCTGATTTGTATTGCTTGATTGGACTATTGAGTTTGAAAATGTTCGTTATCTCCATATTTTATTCACCTGATTATTACAGAAAAACATGTATCTCCTGAAAAAGAAAATTTAATATAACATGTACAATGTTTACATATGTATAACTCTTATTTTTTTTCTGAAAAGTAGCAATGTTTAGCTCACGTCAGTCGAGGCTAAAGTATCTGTGAGGGTTTTTTTTTATGATTTAGGAGGTTGGGGGTCAACAAAAAAAACGTTAGATATAACTTCATTTTTAGATATAAATTTTTAAGGCATCTACTACCATTTCGCATAGAAAAATTCCATACATTTTAGATTTAAAATATAATCATTTTTGTATATCTCCAAATGGATCAAATTCGTTTAAAAATAGCCACCTCCGTCCCCCCCCCCCCCCCCCAGCCTTGTTAAAATTTTGTTGCCGTTAATCTTTACCAATATTAACTTCTTCTCCAGAACCACAGGCCGAATTTCAACAAAACTTGCCATTAGGTATCCTTGGTCAAATGGGATTTATGTTTGTTCAAAAAGGGTCATGCCTTCTTCCAAGGGGATATAATTACGAATTAGTGACACTGCTAAAAATTACTTTTCTTCTCAAAAACAAATGAGCCAGAAAATACAATTTATATAGAAACATCCTCAGATGCTGTAGACAAAAAAATGTCAAATTATGACCTTCGGAGTTAAGGTAGTTGCCACAATAGTCGATTAAATTTTTACATATCTCGAACACTGAGATCATCGGAACTTCTCAACAACAGCCAAGTCATGCTTGGTCATTTTAACCGGAAGCATCCTTTAATACTGAAGATTCACATTTGATAAAATCATGCCCCCTTAGGGTAGGGTCCATGCACAATGGACTATCAAAGTTTAGAATAGAAATACTTAAGAATATCTTTTAAAAAATCTTCTACCCAAGAACAGCAAGCCTTGATTGGTCAATTTAAATGGAAACATCCTCAAGTAATGTAAATTGAAGGTTTTTCCAATTATCACCCCTTCCCCTGAATAAGTTGGGGTCACTTATACATCATGTATAATTATTTGAACTTTTCCACACTGAACTGATTACCGCTACTTTTTAAGTAATTGGGTGGGCGATGTGGTTCCTTGGCCTGTCCTCTTGTCGTTATCAGTAAAAGATAAGTTCTTGAATACCTATGCTGCTAAGTATCGTACATGAATGTAGAGAAGCCATTTGTCTGGAAAACAAGATTTATTACCTTAGAACCTTTTTTGCTTCGTTCATGTCCATTTTTTGAAAGAGGAAAATTTGTGCAACAATGTCGCCTTTAACAGTACTTTTAATTGTTGGACTGTGTGGAAAATTGTGTTTCTGCTTGAATCTGACGAACCACGGGGATGATGTTGCACACCTGAAACAGCTTGTTCAACAGCTGAATACCAGTCTTCATCAAATGGCTATGAACAACAGAAATGAGATTAATCAACTGAAAGCAAATTTCAACACACAAAGTAAGTTTATTTCAAATATTCCTTAAATATTTTTTCTTGCTGGTTTGAAAGGCAAACTTACACACAATTAGAATATATCGACATTTAAAGTCCAATAGAAATCCATAGTATCTAAGTTCAATGGCTTAAAAACGTTTCAATGCAAGATCACGATTATTTGCACAAATTTATGCTGATTACATAGGCAAATCTACATACAAATTAGATTACTAGGGTATATGGACAGTTTAAGTCCATAAGAGAGTTTACATGTAATATTTTATGCTAGTAAAATAATTTTATGCTAGGTTTCATGTATCATATATAAGATTGTAAATCCCTACTTTATGCCTTATTATCTTAAACATTTGAAAACTTATGGGAACTCCACGGTAATTCCACCCTCTGAGACTAAAGAACAAGCATCAATTTATGTACTGCTATTATTAATACATGTAAAGTAAAGACGGCCAATAATTTGCCTAAAAAATGATTACTCAACCCATCCCCAACGACTTAAACAGGTCGAGGAAAGTACCTTATATGGTTATTGTTGTCATTGCGCACAGGGGTGCTCACAGCAAACAATGGTCTAATCCAATGAATGAGCCAAAAAGCATGATGGTCTACTACATGTTTATTTTTACTACAAACACGTGGGTCAAGGAAATTTATGACACGATTTCAACTGACTGAAGAAAAGTCAACTAACATGTTTTTTTTAAATGTGTTTGTGAAAATCAAGAAGAATGGATACTTATTAAGATTTCCTATGCTCACATTGAAAAAGTCAATTTTCCTTGATACATGTAAGTAGTACTTTGAAAGACCGCTCACAAGTACAAAAAGTTTTTTGAACTCGATCTTCGTAAATTTGTCATGTAAGTGATTAAATTCGTTGTTGCTTTGTTATTTGTTAATGGAAACTAAAAGTTAATGCATTTATTTAAAAAAAATTTGCACGAGTTTTTTATTGACACTATATTAATTCTCATGTACAATGATCATAGAACGTATATTTAGCTGTACGTTTTTCAAAGTTGTATACGTGTAAACATTGACAATACGTGAGTATACCTCAGAGTTGATTGTTTTGGACCAAGGAATAGTCACGTGAAGTTGACTTTTAACTGACAGTACAGCACGGGAAAAGCTGTCAACAAACAGACTTGTGCAATGGAGTGGAGAAAACTGTAATTTTACCATTGTAAATCATTTGTATAGAGTGTAAAATGCTTTGGAAAATGCATCACGTCTTTCCAAGAGCATTTAAAAAAATTGGCCTTTTCGAAACATACATGTAGTATTTTTGTAGTATTCCATAATGCAACTCATTGAGCTGATTGGTCGATTTGTCAGTCACGTTGGTTCCTCACTTAACATGTAAATTTATTGCGACCTCACAGAAAATAGTTTCCTCGAACAGTTTAAATGTACACCAGATAAACACTGATAAACTCAAATTTAAATACGGAGATAACGAACAGCATTAAAGTTCAAAAGTCCATCAAACAAATCAAAATTGGAGCAGATAAAACACGGATGTCCAAAACATCTTAGGTGGATCATGTGCCATGGGGAAATGAGAGTTTTGTTTTTGTTTTTGAATTCATTGTTCCATTTACTATTCCAAATATACATTATCAACAGTGATTTCCCTTAACAGGTCGTCCATAGCCTTTGAACATTTTTACTGAAGAAATAAGACATGTACCCTACGTTGAAAATATACGAAATAGTCCCAATGCAAACCTTGATCTGGTATTCACATAGTCCAAAATTACTTTTTGTTTAGAGCTTCCTTAAATTCAAACTACTGAAGAAAATCTAAATTAATTATAAATACCATGAATTCATTCCATTCGATAAATGCTGCAATTCAGTCGAAAACCCCCGAATAGTGAATAATAACTCTCATACTGAATAAGAGTGGCCAAAAAAAATCAATTATAGATAGCATACATTTTGATACCAGCACTCCACATATTAAACAATACACGTTAATAATGTAAGAGATTGGTTTTTTTATTCTAATAGGTTTTTAATGATTGATTTCAATTCAAGGGATCAAGGTTTTTATGCAGTTTTAAAGTATTTAAGAAACATTATAGCATAACAATGATTAATCTTATTTAAAAAAATACAAACAAGAAATGACAAACACACGGATCCCCGGAGCTACAGGTTGGATGAGGTGCCTCGGAGGAGTAAGCATTCCCTTATGACATATCACACCACAAGTCCTTTAAATCTTTCATGTACACGAAGTTTTCTATGCTCAAATTTAGTATAAAAAAGGCCCAAAGATTGAAATAAAACAAGTAAGCCAAACTACGATCCAATGATTTACATAAAGTATTAACGAGTAATCCTAAATACCATAATATGAAAGTTAATAGCTCGTTGACTTACACAAGTTATAATAGCTCGTTGACTTAAACAAGTTTAGAATATCAAGAAACTGCAGGGTATTAATGGAATGGATTGTGAGTATATAGAGGTTCTGTTTGCCTTTATTTGCCCTATTTCCATACTCATTTAATCTAAAAAAAAATATCAGACAAAATGGAAAGGGAAAGACATATAATGACAAAATAATCTGCAAAAAAAATTCTCCAAGTTTTAAGTTTATTGTATGTATCAAACAAAATGAATTAATGCCATATATTCTACCAATTCTTTAGGTCAAGGTCCATAAATAACATAATTATAAATAAAAATGAATCTTGATAGCATGATTCCAAAGTAGCTTGTGCACTTATACAATATTAAAATAACAGGGAAGAAACAGGTCATCAATAAAATGGATTGCGAGAATGTAATTAATATTATATATTCTATCCATTTTTTAGGTCAAGGTCCCATAGCTTTTACGGCGATATTGACGCATAGTACGGAATATTTGACTGGGAACACAGTTGTTTTTGATAAAATAATTTTGAATCTTGGAGACGCTTACCATGAAAGTTATGGACACTTCACAGCTCCAGTACGAGGTGTTTACCAGTTTGCTGTATCACTGTTAAACAACGGGAAAGAATCTTATTTTAATATTGTGAGAAATGGAAACCAGTTGTTATCACAGATATATACAAAATCTGGTTACATTTCATCTTCGTCCATTGTTGTTGTGCAGCTAGAAGCAAGAGATGTTGTCTTTGTTAAGGCACTGACGACTGGTAATTTAGATGGAGGCTTGTACTGTACTTTTAGTGGATTTTTGATTCAATGATTTCATCAAATGATTCAAATAGGAGATTTGTTTCTGCGATATGAGTTTTATAAACATTTGAAACAAAACTTTCGAATTTTTATTTTCTATTTGAAATTGCCTGATAAAAAAGAACAAGATATGTTTCCATTCAAATTTTGCCCTTTGAATTTCTGAAAAAAATGAAAATGATGTAAAAGTTGAAAACTCATGCTTTCTGAATAATGGAAATTCCATGCAAAAAAAGCATACAAATCATTTTTCTCACATGTTTTTAAATGCTAATTGTGACGTCATAATCATGTGCTTTTTCCCGTATTTTCTTAAAAAGTTGCAGAAGAGACCAATTTTCATTTATATTTTCTTTCAGATAATATTGTCTACAGGCATCGTCCACAAAGATCTTGAGATACCGTGAAATCACTAATTTTCGTGGGGGTTTAATTATCGTTGTTTTCGTGGTGTGAAGAGACCCACAAATATATGTCCACCACGAAATGCAAATTTTCATATGCACAACTACTAAAAAGTTCTTCATCCACAAAATAAAATCCCCACGAACCAACATTTTTCCTTCAACCACGAAAATTTGACCCCACGAAAATATGTGATTTTACAGTATGTGATTTGTTATTGACTTTTGCACAAAATATCAAAAAATTAACATGGGAGACGGCTGTGGACCCTATTTTCTAAAGGAAAATCACCATTGAAATTGGGCATAATGAGGCTTTTTCTGTTGAAAATAGAGAAATGCATCACATTAATGACGTCATATTTACTGATAGGTAAACCTTCGAGCAATATTCTTTCCTGATTTATCACAGTCATATACTTTTAACTAATATTTAAGGCAGTTTCAAAACTTTTTAATGTCATTACATTTTAGGGCACAATAAAGTAAAACCATGCCTTCTTCTTGGGGATAGTAATACACTAATTTTGTATGTATGTTTTCTGAGGTTTCTTTGAAAGTATATTTAAGAAATGTTTCTTAGTATGGGTGAAAATTCTTACACATGCCCTGAAATGTTTCCTGGCGCTTCAAGGATACCTTCAAACATATAGATATGTCTGGATAAGTCAGCTTTTTATAGAAACTTCGAAGAATAGGGACGCTTTTAGATAAAAATGCTGTTGCGAGTATTCTTGGATATATATCAACACAGCCTTTGCATGGTTGCTTCAATATCAGCAAGAGTAATTTAACTTCTTAATGGTACTAGAAGAAAAATTAGGTTACCATAAATGCAATGTTATTATAGTTAGATGACTATACATGTGCAACTTTAGTTTTATGAAAAGAACTTTTGAAAACAACATTTGATGTTTGCATTTTAAAACGATTCCTAGTGGTTACCGAGAAAAAGACATACAATGTGATCCATAACTTATCATCAGAGTAATGACTTAAGCAAACTCGTATCTGCACTTCTTGAGGATGGTTGCATACATATTAATATTATTATAATTGTTTTTAATATTGATACTGACAATCAAGAAAATGATAAGGATTATTTTCCAAATATATTCAAATGTCTGATGTAAAATTTTCCTTAGGGTTTATTTGAATCTTATAAACACACCCTTAACATTATATGAAAGTTGTCAAAAGCTAAAAATTAACCATCATTTTAAAAATTCAACTACATGTATATGTGCATGTTTAATGTCAAACACTGACAAGAAGGGTGCAAAATGACAAACCAAAGAAAAAAGGAATAAAGAAAAAAATCAATGTTTATATCATTTACACAGGAGTTTGTTATTTTCGAATATCTTCATTCCGTTAGATAAGGGATGTTCTGCA